TGTGTTCTGTGTTGTTCGTAGACTCCAGGAACATTGTGACGCAAAATCATCTTTAAGCACTCTAAACTAGAGAACTGGCTCCTAATGCAGGGATGTCCAGTATTCACTTTTTGCCAATATCTGATATTGTCCAAACACGTAATTTCTAATTCCGATATCAACACCGGACCGCTATAACAGGGAAGTGGTTTTTTCCCCCTCCCCAAATTGAAATACTAATGAGCCCCAGATGGTTCATTTATTTATCTGTACAAACCACTGTATGAGTTGCTAGCACCATCATTCTGCCTATGACCCCCTGATTATTAAAATAGATTAATTAAATGAGCTGCAATGCTGCCATCTAGTGGCTTTCACTTTGATATACAGCCGTTTTCCCCCAAAACTTTTTTAGGGCACACATTATCGGAGGAAAAACCCATAACGACTCTTACAGATATTAAATTATTTTTATATTATATTATCGGACATCCGTATCCTAATGTTTACTCACAAAATAAATGACAAATATAGAAGGAAAGCTATGTTTCTCCATCTCCTGTTTCAGCCAGAAATGTGGTTCATGCAATCATCACGTTCCAAACCCACTCACTGCTCATCGACCTCCAGTGAAGTCAGGCGTTTTTCATAGGAACCAGAGGCTGAGCTTCAACAGTGTTTGATACACATTTCTTCTACAGAAATGTTTCACAACTTGGGAAAAGCAAAGCAAACACTGACGTTGAAATAAATTTCCATTTTTGTTGTCAACACAGGACAAATATTCACTCCTCGCCAACTTATGACTCGTAGGAGTTAACCCTCTGAAAACTTGGCTTGGACGAAAAGGTTCCTTCAGGAACTTTGTGACGGTCAGTTAGTTCTGCTTTCCATTCTTTATACACAGATTCACCAAAAGGTAGCACAGATATACCATAAAGTACCCAGACACTGCACAGAGGGGAAGAACTGACCAAGGAAAAGGTTTTTCCTTTGATCCAAAGTCAACTGTTAGAGACTTCAGGACAGAGAAGACAAATCTGGACCAGAATGACTAAGTGCGACGCTTATAGAGGCCAAGACAGAACGTGAAGGAGAACAAAGGAGAAAAGAGCAGGAAAACATGAAGGAGGGAGGGGAGAGAGGGGGGTAGAAGGGAGGGGAGGGAGGGGGAGGCCAGAGGACTGATGAGCTGGAGAATGATATTTGGCTACAGGATCCCAGTTGGTCTCAGCCGGGACTGGAAACTGTGTCAAGGACTATAGAGATAGAGACTGATGAGTCAGGAGCTCCGACAAAAGTTACTACAACACCACGCACACCTACACATTCCAGTTGTACATAAATCTATACCTGGATACACAAATACACACAGAGACTAAACACACAATCACCATCACCATCATCATCATCATCATCATCGTCGTCGTCAGCTGATTTCAGACAGTATTAGTGTTTTAGGATAAATCTGGTGATTCGATTTGTGTCACAATACAGGGACAACAGTACGATATATTGCGATACTATAGGCATGGCAATATATTGAGGTTTTTTTTTTAACCAATCTAATTGTAGTCAAAGTGTGATGATAGTAAAGATTCTGCTGCTGTTCCATCTGAACATCAGGTACTAACACTGGAACAGAGGGATCTACATTTGGAAGAAAGAAAAGAATCAGAACCATGGAGAGGAATATTGACTGGGGATTGGTGATAAAAAAATCAATACACTGATGGAGTATTGTGAAAGAAAATATCACAATATTTTAGGGTATAGATATTTTCTTACACCCTTACAAAGCAGTGTCACCAAAGTAAAGAGAGAACCTGTGACGGGGTACAGCTTTATGATTAATTACTGACAACTTTCTGTATGTGCTGTCAGGAATTGAAGAAAATTTAAAACGCTACAAATGGCTCTGGGTGAGGCGCTGATACCACAAACACTGGGAATCAGAATCAACCAAAAAATGAAATCAGTGCATCTTTTTTTTCCAGGGTTCAGTCCAGTGGTGCTCATCATCTGACCCACAAGTTGGACAGGAAAATAAAACAGGTTTTGTCTTAAAACACTAAAAAGCCAAAAGTTCTGGCAGCAGTGATGTAGTACCGATAGAGATATTCTACAGTCATTACTCTGTGTCTGATTTGTACTTAGATGAACCCAACCATCCTCTGCAGTCACACAGCTGCAGCTGACATCAGTCAAATCACTTAGTTACTGAAGACCCGGGTCACTAGTCACCACTGGCATGCACAGAAAGAAGCCTAATGTAAAACAAATGTTTTTAGAGAGTAACCCAGTGTTGAATCAGCATCATCCCTTTTTTCCATCTTCCCTGCGGACCGACTTGGATGACTCGGGCTGTGGCTGCGTCTGGTCCGACAGCTGCTTTACATTAGAGCCTGGGGATGAAAGTTTGACGCTGCCCACATCTGTAACTCCTGTGACAAACTGCTGGACTTACTAAGCTCACCATCAAACACCGCTGAGCTGCCTGTGTATTTTCTCCGCGCTGCAATCACAGATAAATCCCCCGGCTGGATGTATGGTACTAATTGAAAACACTGAGCAGTGTCAAACAAAGAGCTTTTGTTAAGCTACTCAGAGTTTCCACGGCCGGGTGTTTGTGGGACTAAATCTACAGCATCAAGCCTGAAATGAGATGATTTTACAGCAGCTGTTAAAATATCTACTCATCGACACAGGATTCTTGATTCTTCCACTAAACTGGAATCTTATTCCGTCGAGAAATTGTTTTTTTTTTGTCTGTTTTGTGGAAACCTGGCCGTGCTACGAGAGTTTGACTGATCATAGGACATGTGCAGAAAACAGGGTGCTTCCTATTGGCCGGTTGACAGCACAGCTGTGTGTACACAAACCTTCAAACCGTTCTTAAAAATGACAGGCGCTGAAAAACAATCTCAGAAAGAGGTGAAAAAACAAACTTGCTGAATTTCGGAAATGCATTTGAAACTTTTACAGATTTCTCCAGTTTTTTTTATCTAAAAAAAAATTTCAAATTTAAACACACCAACAGAGCTCAGCTGAGGCTGAAGATCAACTGAGTAATTTACCCTTTTTGTGAATTACATACTTGTTGAAAGTATTTTTTGCGTTGAACTTGAACTTTAATGTTTATTTATTATTTACAAAGTACAGCGTTTTAATGTAACTACATATCAACTACTTCTTTTTTATTTTCCTAATTTGTTTTTGCACAAAGGTTACACCCATGGTCATCCTACAGCCCACTAGGTGGCAGTCATTTCCCAGCCAAAATACTTAGATCTACCTAGTCTGTTACACTTAATGATTGAAAGCAAAATTGTATTTTATTCAAGTGTATGATAAGAGTGGGTTTGATTATTTTTTAACCACTGCCCCATACACCCCCCTAGCTAACATTAAGAGATTAGCGCTCATAAAGAGGATAGCACAGCGTTTGGATCATGTTGCTGTCGCTGCTGCTGACTTCCATAACCATGTGACTCAGGTACAGTCTACTGCAGCACTGACAGTCACACAGCCTGGCCAATCAACTTAGCGTCAACGCAGCCACTGGTCGGTCGCCCGAAACCCGGCGTATGATTTCACTCCATCATTTCCTGACATGTTGTTTCCAGCAGCTGCAGCTCCAGAACGTGGAGGAGGGAGACGCAGCAAAGTGCATTAGCAGCTGCCTTCCCTTTGTTTCTCCCCCTCTGAGTGTGTGAGTGTGTGTGTGTGAGATTATGGGGGTTCCTCACCCACAAACGTATTCTCATAACAAACACACAATCATTGTGCTCCATCATGCAACCAGCTCTGTGTGCCGTCATGCGGTTTACTATAAAATGATGTTTCCCACATCAATTGCTGCCCTGTTTACATCTGTGTGTGTGTGTGTGTGTGAGAGAGTATCTGAGGAGACCGTAGTCACATACAGCTGTCAGATAGTAATGGAGGTCTAATCAAGGCTAAGCCAAGTGGGCTTTACACGCCGGTGCTCTCCTGGCAACTTCCTCTCTGCCTGCAGTCCACTAACAGGGAGGAATGATGGCTCCCACATGGTACGGACAGAGCCAAGGACCCAGTCTGATGCACCCAGAAACAATTGTTTCCACATTGCCAGTGTCCGGTTACATTTTCTGCTTGGTCATCAAGCTTCTTAGTGGGACGCGCTGGACCGAGGTCGAAGTCACGGAGCACAGAGAGAGAAAGAGAGAGAGAGAGAGAGAGACTGGTTTGGACCATTTTCCAAAGGGCTGCCATCTTGCGCCCATGTGTTTGTCCGTGGACCAGAACAGAAGTGCACTCTTCATTTTGAAGCGGAAGCAAAATGAGCAAACGAGGAAGAGCGCTTCCTCCTGCATTAATCGGACGCATAAATCAGGGGAGAACAAAGTGGAAACAGTCGCACCGAGAGTGGAGACTGGAGTCATCTGCAGTCTCATCACTTCATGTCAGCAGTTACTGCACGCTGCAAATTCAAATGCAGTACTGGTATATTACACTGCACTTTGACCCCACATAGATCATGTTCTTTCACTTTTATGCAAATCAACCTGGTCCTTTGATGTTAGTCACATGGTTTGGTCAACGATCACAGCTGATTAACTGTGGCCCCACCCACCTCTTCAATGAAGTCAACGATCACAGCTGATTAACAGATTTATTCTGAACGGCCGGTAACTTTACCGTTAAATGATAATGAGCCACTGTGGCCCCACCCACCTCTTCAATGAGACCAATAGCTGCACAGTTAAAGAGTACAGTAAGGTAGTGTATGCCATTGTAAAAGGTATGGTGAACCGACAGGATACTAGACTACAACCTGTAGTCTAAAAATATCTGAATAAACCAAAAAAAAAAGGTGTAAAATAATGGTTTATCCTGGTTTTATAGGTGGCGCTACACTGTATAGAGGAGGGGGTCATTATGTTGTCAGATTATTTTGACAAAATAACGTGATGTAAACAAAATAATGTGATGTAATGTGAAAAGTGATGCAGCCGACATGAAGAAAGGAGCAGACATACCCAGGACGTTTCCCGCAGGCACCTCCTCAAGCTCCTCCAGTTCTCGGCCCATCAACAGGTAGACGTCCTCGATGGAACAGCAGGACAGGTGAGGTACTGCGTTTACACAGTCTGACGCGCTGCAGTTCTCAGGCAGCTGAAGAAGAAGAAACAAAACCAGAACAAACGGTCAGTTTGACAACGGCCCCTGGTGAGTAAGACAAACTTCAACAATCTGGTTCTTCACACTGACGAGCTCCTTCAACAGTGTCTACATGTTGGCATTATTGTCATTTCATTTTTTGTAGCTCTAGCGCCACCGCCTGGCCCAGCACAGAATTGTGACGGGAGCGTTTAGACTCCGGTCATTTTGAAAAATGTCTCTCATTTAAGGGCAGATTTCAAAAACAGACTGCTCCAGACTTGGACCAGGGTTCAGAGCCAGATGTAAATGATGTGTAGTTACCAGACTCAGACCCTGGCCAGGATCATACTTTGGTCCCAGGACAAAAACCTTCTGTTTTTTCCTGACGACGCCGCTGTAAATCCGGGCAAAGGCGATGAAGGTCTGTTTCTGCTCCTCCTCCTCCCCCTCTGGCTTCACGTCCCTGAGAGCGAGGCTCTCCATTTTAGCTGATGTGGAGAAAAACAGACACGTTCTGTCAGGAGTCAGTAACGAGGGCAGCAGTTTGGTAAATGATGGCGCAGGTTTTTCCAGATATAGAACAGTGAGTGGTAACAGATGGACGTCACTCCCAGACCATCACTGATCATCTGAGTTCATCATCTGTTTAATCACATTCTGGTGATTGAGATGTTTTTATAACAACATGTTTGGCCTCAGTGTGAGAGTGGGTTGTAGTGAGAGAACCTGCGCTGAGGTCTGAAGGTTCTGGCCCACATTGGTCTTCATTGTTCTTTTTAGTCGTCTGGTCCACGGCCATTCTGTCAGCATGTCTCTGTCGAGCAATTTCTCTACGCTGGGAAATCTCTGCCTGGGTTAATGGCCTACAACACACACACACACACACACACACACACAGAAGTCAAACTATATATTTTGTAAACTGAAAAAAAGTTATGCCTCGTTTTGGACTCATATAACCTTAACAATCAGTTAACATGACATAATCAACTAAATCAAACATATTAGAAGATTCGTCCGACCGAAATTATCGGCCCAATATCAAAATAATTGTGCAGTAATTGTAAGAATTGTCATTGTTTCTTGGTCCGATAATGAAAACCCGATGCCTGGGTTTCACCAAACGATGTGCGCCCTAAAAATAGTTTTGGGGAAAAACGTCTGTCTATGAAAGTGTAAGTCACTAGATGGCAGCATTGCAACTCATTTTATTAATGTATTTTAATAATCAGGCCATTGTATGCAGAATGCCGGTGCCGGGAACTCTTACAGTGGTTTGAACTGATAAACAAGATAAATATGACCAGGCCCTTAATAGTATTGGAAGGGGGGGGCGGGGGGGAGGGAGTAAAAAAACATCTGTCCCCTAGAGGGGGCATGGCAGAAAATAATATACAAATACAAATGAATAAAGAAACAATGCTTTAACCCAGGCGGCAAGTGTTTGGACAATATTGGCATATCCCTAATCCATACATTACTGCTGTCACTTAATCCACAAGTTAATGTGTGTGTGTGTGTGTGTGTGTGTGTGTCTTCAAAAGGACCACGGCTGTTTCCAGCAGGAGTGAGTGACAAGATCCAGCACAAACATCAGCTCCATGATGACAAACCACTTAAAGAAAGTCCAAACCGCCCCCTGACAGCAGCGCTGGTCCTGCAGACACAGCTGGACTGAAGGCACTCCTCGTCTGCTTTAACTGGACGTAACAGGAGCTGCAGGGTGAATTAGAAAATTCCAGCAGAACAACCACAAAGGAGCAAAAGCCACTAAATGATGAAATGGCCTGGAGGAGAAATACTTTCTGACTTGAAGTGGCTGCACAGCTGCTAAACCTCACTCTGCTGACATCAGGTCCATCTGAGAAATCCACACAAACTGTTTGTTTGTGTGGATTACACTCACGTACACTCACCTTACATATTTTTTTTTTAGTTTAAAAAAAAATTATGCCTCTCGACAATAAATGTTTTTTATTTATATTTTTTGCGAGGTCATTACTGGTTAGTTTCAATTCCCGACAAAATGTTTTCTTTTTAGTCAATGGCTAGGATCTACATCCTAGAGGTACTGATCAAAAATGTAACCTATATCTTCTAAGGCCACAAGAGGGCACTGCCTCCACACGTGACAACTGGACGCAGCTAGTGCGCCACAAAAAATGACTCCACTAAACCCTGAAGGCTCATTTAAAGACCATATAAAATGTGAGCAAAAAGACAAAGCCAGACTGAAAAATGGTAACAGAGCAGTGAAAAAGAACTAAACAGTACCGCCTGGAACTGATCCTGATCCTGGTGAGTCCGACAGAGTTGTTGACATTGTTTAGAAGTTTAGAAGACACCGAGGAACTCAGTGATGAAGAATCAGATCAGAAACTTGTTGAACCTGTTAGCCCAGAAAGAAGCAAACTATGGCCCGTGGGCCAGATACGGCCGGCCAAACACTGGTACGAAAATACATCAAATGTGCCAATTTTCCTTTGAAGTTTTAGGTTTGTTCTGGGATCCTTGCAGTATACATTTTCTGACAGATTGGATTCAAATTTGAGTCAAGAAAAGGTAGGATACATTGTTGACAGATGGATCAGACTATGGTTAGGTGTGATTTGTGTAACAGACACTTCTTAAATCACTTTAAAGGTTTCACTATCACATCAACGTCAAACATGTTTCCCAGAAGCAGCGACACCGGAGCTCTGTTTTTCACCACGTTAACGATACGATGACTTAAACATCCGATGCCTCGCTGCAACCCTTCATCGTTGAATCATCCAATAGCTGGTTTTAATGTTAAAGCCAGGACCTGGTTTCCAGCCTCACCAGCTGTGGTTATGAAGTAATGCCTTCCAAACGGTGGAGCAGGATGAAGGCGACCGCAAACGGACTCTTCTACGAGTGGAAAAGGTTAGAAAACTGGAAAACGCAGTGGTATTCTGATGTTACAGCTGCCACTTTCATTTAGTTTTATTAACTGATGTGTGTTTTCAGTCGTGCCAGTCAGAAAATATACAGAGACCAATGGGACTGGACTGGACTGGACTGGGCTGGACTGGGCTGGACTGGACTGGACTGGACTGGACTGGACTGGACTAGGCTGGACTGGACTGTCCAGTCTACCACAAATACAGGGACCATTCCCACTCATTCCCTCACTCACACACAGCTATGGTCAATTTAAAGTGAAGCGTCAACACTGTCATGTCTGAGAACCTGGAGAAACAGGGAGAGGGATTTGAACCAATGACCTGCTGTCAAGCAAACACAGTAACCACGTCGCCCCACGTTTACAACAAACATTTTTACATTTACTGCAAAAATGGGTAACACTAGCAGTGTCCACTTTGACCAAAGTGATCGACCTACACTGATAACAATGAATATATATTTAGCCACATGAGCTGAATAACATTTTTACATTTACTGCAAAAATGGCTCAAACCAGCAGTGTCCACTTTGACCAAAGTGATCGACCTACACTGATAACAATGAATATATATTTAGCCACATGAGCTGAATATACTTTATATATATACTTTATATGTTGATTAAATTGCTGTAGCTGTATGGAACATTATCTATATCTGTTATCTGTAATCTAGTTCTAGAGATTTAATTTGGAAAAAAAATCTTTACTTTTATTTTAAACGCTCAGGTACACCTGTACCAGTTCTCACGACTCATTCTTTTGTCTAATAAAAAGAAAAACACGCCCAGTGACTGTGGGTCGTGTGTTTGATTAGTTTTCGTTGTCGGTGAGGATCAGACTCTAACACTGTAACACTGTAACACTAACACTAACACTGTAACACCAGGTTGAAACTTAATAATATGGGAGAGTGTCTTTTTGTATCCTGAACACTGCAGTCTTCTAATAAATACAGTTATGACTCTCCTCCTTTTAGAAGGCAGCTGTAGCCAGCGGCTGCCAGGGTAATGTCAGTGGTGGAAAAGTGTGCCTGCCTTCTGTGGGCGGGGGCCAAAAGAGGACGGCAGCTCTCGCAGGCTTATTAGCCAGAATTTGGACAGGCTTTTTTCCCCTCTCTGGCTAACAGTCAGAAATGACCTTTCTCGGCTTCTCTCTCTTCACAGAGCTGCCTGTCCACAGCGCTCTGCTCCACGCCAGGTCATGACAGCCTGTCTATATCTGCTCCTCTCCGGTTGACACACTTTTAACAGCAGCACAGGCTGCAATTAGGCTCCGGTTCTGTCAGAAGAGGTAAAAATACTGAGGTGAAAAGTTTTTTTTAGGACTGTCAAAATTAATGTGTTAATGCCGTTAATTAATCTGTGAAATTAATCACATTACATTTTTAACCCATGGCTCTGTATTTGATATCACATTTTTAACCCGTGGCTCTGTATTTGATAGTATTTGTTGGCCGATATTATCGGACATCCCTAGAAGATGTCTTTTTTTTCATGTGACTGGATGACATCACAGATCTCCCCTCACAGATTCTCAAAGGCTCCCAGGACCAGAGCAACCCAGCGTTCAGTAAATGGGCCAGATCAGTGGAGCAGGGAGCTGTGATGTGTGTGAGTGCACAGCCTGAAAGCCAGACAGGCTGCTCAGGGCAGACCAGGCCAAATCAATCTATCGCTGACTGTGGAGGAGTCAGGACCATGAGTTCTGACCTCCTTTAACCTCCAGGAAGAAGAAGGAGGAGGAGGAGGAGGAGGAGGAGGAGGAGGAGGGGGAGGAGGAGGAGACCAGTCAGGGAGAAAGGACCAAGAAAAACAAAAGCAAACGCTGCAGTGACCGCGGTCACAGAGTGGGTTTCAAAATGTTAGTGTAAAATAAAAGGTAACACTGTTTGGAAAAAATGTTGTTAAAATGATCAACAGATATAAAGTATTAACAAATGCCTTCAGTCACTGTCAATGGACCGGAGGAAATACAGTACATGATGTGTGTACACCCCCCCGCCACCCCCAAATTATACCGACTGGGTCATTTAAGTGGTTACCTGTGACAAATACCCAGTAGGTGGCAGTATTGCAACTCAAAATGTGCAGAACTGCCAATAAATAGGAGCAGAAGCTGATGAGTTTTTCTCAGCTTGGCCTGGATCATTTACACATCATTTAGAATTACTCTTTACTTTATTTTTTTTTAATTTTTTTTCATTTTGAATTAATCCTTCAAGGCTGTGGGTTCCAAACTTTGAGCTTGGCATGACGACACAACTTCTTGGTACCAAATTCTTCTTTTAGCCACAACTAGATGGCGCTCTCTCAAACACACACACCGATAAAAACAAACAGAAGCACCGACCTCTGTCTGTTCTGGGGCAGGGCCTTGACATCTACAGCAAACATCTTGGACACAAAGATGATGACCGGAGCGTTTTCCTGACTGGAACACTGGAGGAATGCTGAGGAAAACAAATGGAATTTTCTAATTAGCAAAACTTAATTTTGCTTTTGACTATGGTAATTGGTAATAAAAAAAATCAATACACAATCAAATACTTAATATAAAGATTTACAGACACGGTTCAAGAAAACAACGAGAGAGAAATGAGTGACGGGGGAGCAGCAGAGAAGACCCTGCTGCTGAGTCAGACACATCAGAGCAGCTGGTGGCTGAGGTTTGATCCTCCTCTGATCAATTCGACATCCAGGATAGGAGGGCCATGTCTGGTACTAAGCACACATTTCCTCTCTGGAGTGTGAGGATTTACTGTCTGCAGTAAATCTGACCAATCACAGAAAGGTTGGCCCAAAGTAGTCACGTATGCATCCACTGAATCTTTCAGATCAGTGTTTTTCAACCTTGGGGTCACGACAATTCAACTGGAGTCGCCTAAAATATCTAGTAATTGATAAAGAAAACCTGATAAAACTATTGACACCACACACACTTGTGCACGACCCGGGGTATTTGTTACAGACACAACCAACATGACCAAATTCTAAAAGATAAAGTCTCTTGGGTCTCCAACTATTTGTGACATCAAAACGCAGCTCAGTTTCATTAGGACAATCGCTCCAGGCCTCACACCACCGTGTGTGTGTGTGTGTGTGTGTGTGTCTTTACCTTTTTTCAGCTCTTGAGTCTGTGGTGGCAGGGAGTCAAATCGTCTGGTACCGACACTCATCAGTTTCTCCACCCGCTCTTCTGCCATGTCCAGAGGACTAGGAAGTTTCTCACACACCATGGCTTTAGTCTGGGTTAAAGAAATCTGGAGACTAAAAGTTCAAACCAAAGCCGACAAAATACAGAACCAGACACACACACACACACAAAAAATAAAAAACACACAAAAAGAGCACGGACAGAAAACAGGTCGAGGTCCAGGATACAGAGAACAGCTTGGGACAGCCGTAACCACTGGCTGCAGATGGCGGACAGGAGAACTTTGGGGTCTGAGTGCCGCAGGTCTCTGGCCATCACCTTTATCCCGAGTGATGTCACCACCTTCTCCACCTTCTCCATGTCTCTGTTTACAGAAGATATGCAGGAAGTTACATTTGATTTCTGTTCATTCTTTCATTTTATTTTATTTTACTTTATTCTTGGTTTTATCGATACATTGCCAAACGTGACGACGATGTCGGTTCGACCCCGGTGTCGCTCTAGTTCTAAAGAGTTGTTCACTCACCTCCTTGTGACGACAGCGTCATATAAACTCCAAATGTTCTCCAGCACTAGTTGAACAAACAGTGGCTTTTTTCCTTTGACCTACAGACAAGGAGACAAAGATACAAAGACTCAGCAACAACATGCAAATCTGTCTCTTTGTTATTGTTCAGTAGCTGCTTTTTTTTTTTATTACACTTAATACAAAAGCTATAAATATACATCACTGTAGTTACTGCCCCCTATTTTGGGAACCATTACATTGACCAAGGAAAACAAAGGAACCCTGCAGTAGTTGTGCTACAGTGTAAACGACACCAACTGTTACCTGAGCTCCTTTCATAATCCTTTTTGCTTTCGCGTTGAGGTAGTAATCTCCCCACAGGGTTTTGAGGAGAACCTCTGCTTTGATTCCCATTTTCAGGCTGTAGAGCTGAGCAAACTGCTGCATGCTGAAAAAGACAAAAAAAAAAAAAAACCTGGACGTTCAGACGTCTCCCAAATAACTGGTGACCAAAATCAAATCAATAATGAATTAGACGAGGTCGGGGCGAGCAGTTCACCTTTCAAAAATTCACCTTCGATGCTCGATACTGGTTAAAAGTCCAGGTTGAATTTCGTTTTAATAATGACCTGAGGTTATGTAAAGTGTTGACATATGGTGAACTTACACTAGGTGGCAGGAGAACTCTCGATGTCAATTCAAAACAATAACTCAAATTCATTTTTTTCCGGTCTATGAAAAAATAATAGACTTTACACAGTTGACCCACGTGATCCGCGATTCACGACCAATCAAAAAAAGCAAAGGGGAATAAATTTAAACTGTATTGGTCGGAAGCTGCGCCGGGTCCTCGACATACGGTAGGTAGAACGTATGTTCTGACAGGGTAATCTCTGAGTTAACAGCACCCTCTGGTGGACGTACCAAACCAAGACAAACCAGCTGTGTCTACTGGTTGTACGACAAAGAATAAGAAAAGAAAAGGAGAAAAGGGAGACAGGGAGGGCAGAAGGAAGGAAGAAAGGAAAAGAAGAGAGGAAGGAGAGAAACAAATCTAAAAATGAGACTTTTTCTGTTCAAATAATTATTTTTGTGGTAAATAATCAAGAAGTAATCAAAAGAAATAAAGGAGTCAAGGAGCCTTTGAAGTTAATTTCCGTCTGCCTCTGTGTTTGATCTCCAGTGACAGTGGAGTCAACAGTACTAATAATCTATTGATCAGTTTTAAAAAGTGATCACAACATCAAATAGGTCCAGACTTTGTTCTGAACTGTTTCATTCTGTAAAAATAATTAAAAAAACAAAATCTCCTGCGTTTGAGAAGTCCGACCTCTCCTCACGGATCAATAGTCCCACAAAGACAAGACCCCTCTTACCTGAAGCCCCAGCCGTCTATGGCACTAGCAAACACCACGTTCCCCTGGAGAGGGGAGAAGTAAAGGTGGGAGTCGTCCACTTCCTCCAGTCCAGCACTCCAGTCGTAAACCTGATCGCCATCCGCCGCAGTTTCGTCATCTTTCTCCTCTGCCTCCGCCTTCTCCTTCTCCGCTCGCTTCTCCAGCACTTCTGATGTAAATAAGAACCCCGTCACTGCGTTCACCTACGGCGACGACAAGAACACGGCTTTGGTTCCTGTGCTACAGTGTTCTGACAGTAGTTCTGAGGTCCGCTGCTGATGACGCGATGTGTTTGTCTGATTTAATTCACACTTGGTATTAAATCAACATTCCTCAGACGATGACTGGTGACAGGTGAAGAGGTTAAGACACGACTGCTGATGACGCGATGTGTTTGTCCGATTTAATTCACACTTGGCATTAGGTGAAGAGGTTAAGACACGGAAGTCCCAACACTTTCCATGTGCACGAAACATAGTTTTGGGGATAAACGGCTGGCTCATAAACTGAAAGTCACTAGATGGCAGTATTGCAGCTCATTTATTTGATCTCATATTCATACAGTGGTTTGTACAGATAAATAAATAAATATTAGCAGGAATATATCGGTATCCGTTGATATCAGAATCAGAAATTAAGTGTGAGGACAATATCGGCTATCGGCAAAAAGTTTATATCGGTCATCCCTAATTCTTAACCAGCGTGTTTCCAACACTGTACATTCCCACTGATTAACATAACTTAATTAACTTAATAATCAACTGTTAATCAGCTCTTCTGTCGATTTCTTGTCAAAAACCTGTCCATTTTGTGACAGCTAGCTACACTCTAGCTTAAAGAACAGAGGACCTTGATAACAGGCACAAACTGCCAGGTCTAAACTGATCATGACTTAGGTGGTCATGTCCATGTTGCAGCTGCCACATGGTTGTCATGTCCATGTTGCAGCTGCCACATGAGGTGCATTCAGGTACGATTGGAAATTTGAGACTTACAATTATGGGCGTTTATGTATGGTACAGGTCAGGACAAGTGGTGATTCGCCTCATGGCAGCTGGGCCCCCACCACTGGTTTAAAGCACGGTGCTTTTGTGACACTGTGACTCTGACAGATTTACATACTGTGGGATTTTGCGTTCACTCTGGCCTTTGTCCGATATAACATGGACCCCTCACCTGTTCCAGAATCTTCTGCAGGTGGATGTAGGCTTCCTGGGGGGTGAGCTTCAGTTCCAGGATGAGTCTGTCCATCTTATTAATGACCAGAACAGGTCGGATGTTCTCCAGCCAGGCCTGACGCAGCACGACCTGGGTCTGTAACACAGGAAGATATTATCGGACATCTCTAAATAAAATGAACAATCAGTGCAGTTTTCCACTGTGGCACAAACAAAAAGACCCTGTTGCATTGTATGGGTGCCCACTCAGGGAGCCCATCCTTCACATTGGGAACCACTGACACTGAAAAGGTTAAAAAAAGAATTTTTCTGTAGGAACATGATGAAGATGAAACAAAACAACAACACGGAGAACTGTACCTGTGGACACACTCCCTCCACTGCATCAATGACAACAATGGCACCGTCACACAGCCTGACGGCAGTGGAGACCTCGGAGGAGAAGTCCACATGACCGGGGGAGTCGATCAGATTTAGTAAATACTCCTGATCACCTGTGGGGAACACAGGGTAAAAGACAACAAGTGTCGATGATACTTGTTGTCTGGTACTGTTGTTCAACTGGGCTCCTCATTGGGACGACATGATCAAGCTAACCTGTTAAAGTCACGTCCAAAATGAAACGTGACCTGAGGAACTAGTACCAAAAAACGGAAAATTAAAATCGGCCATAAAACATGAACATGAATGGGTACATCTCTCACAGGAATGTCATGATCTTCATCAATGAATAGAGTTCATTGAGACAACAGAAATTCTGGTATATTAAGACACACATACAAACACACACACACTCTTACCATGTGTGAAGTGCAGAGAGATGGCGCTGGACTTCATGGTAATTCCTCGGACCTGCTCGTCCTCTCTGCTGTCTAAATACCTCAGCTGGGAAACAAACACATCAAACATTACACAGTACTGCAGTGACGTGCAGGGTCACAGATCTGTCTTTGAGGTAAGACCACTGCCCTACCTTCCCGGCCAGTCTACTGGATATGATGCCATTACTGGCCACTAAACAGTCTGCAAGGGTAGTCTTGCCTGCAAAGACATGGGAGGCAGGGTTAGTGTTGGTTTCCAATTCTCCAGTCCATCACAGGACCACATATAGAGATAAAGGGGGGCGTGGCTGGGGAGCATCAGCAATACGGTTCCCCTTGAAGGGCCGGTTGTAATTGGAAGACTGTGCAGATGTAAACTACTCCACAGCATATTCATAAATGTTTCTGCAATTGATTATTATGTATTGAAGTTACTTACTAGTTGTTTTATTAAATGTTTTTTAAGTTCCTGTGGGCCATAAAAAATGACTTGGCGGGCCGCATTTGGCCCCCGAGCCTTGAGTTTGAAACATATGGCCTATGGTTACCTCCAACAAAAAACACATATACAGTATTTACAGATATACACGTCAGCATAATCAGGCTCGTTCGATACACAACTGTTACTGAAAACACACGTGACTCTGTTTATTGAAATACTGCGCGGTAAAAGTTGCAATAACCGGCATTTAATGATGGGGAAAAAATGTTGTGTTTAGCATGTTTTATATGTGAGTATAAGGTGAACACTCACCGTGGTCAACGTGAGCCAGAATGCAGAGGTTCCTGATGTTGGAGGGGTTTCTCTGCAGCGCAGTCATCTTCTCTAGGCTGGTGTGTCCCATGGTGAACGACGGGACTGGAAGCAGCAGCGACAGAAACAGACAAAAGTCAACTGTCACACAACTCCGTCCAACTACAGCATGGCAGTCAAACTCCGCAGCGGGTCCACAAGTGTCTAAATAACTGTGCAAGCACTCGGATAAGTCACTATCTGATACGAGTCACTGACGACGCCGTCAGTATTTCCTACAACTACTGTTCTGACCTCAAATGTGAATTAACGTCACTCATAACACACACTTCACGAGCTCAGGACACACGTTGTTTTGCCGGAAGTTCCTGCGCAGCGTTAGTCGCGCCCACTTCCTGTCATTGGCTATTGCATTCAGGGGGCATGGGAAAAATGAGCATTACATAAAGAAGGACGAAGTCGCTGTTAGAGATGCAAAGATATGTGTAAAACATTACAGTAACATTATATTATTTGTACCAAAACTAATATTGGAGACAAGTACTGTGTATTTATTTGAATACATTTCCAAGCACAAAAAATATATTCTAAATATGTCCTATTACAGCAAATAACTGTCCGGGGTGTACCCCGCCTTTGGCCGTTGATAGCTGGTTACGACCCTGAAATTGAATAAGTTGTAGATAATGTTTTTTGTTCCGCTTCTTAATCATGTTTCTTCTTGTTAAAGTAAAAGAAAACTCAGGTAGTATACAGCACTAATGTAGTATTTACAGTATACTATAGTTATGGCTCAACAGAAAAATAATAAAAGAAAAATAAATTCAATATTGGTTTTAAGGGGTAATGGCTCAACAGAAAATCAACATAAATTCAATATTGGTTTTAAGGGGTATTTTCTAATATGTCGTACATATAATGTATCTTTTTTTTTTAGTTTTTAATCTAATCTAAAATTTAAAGTAAACACGATGAGAATAATTTGTACTCACTCTGTCATGGCTGATCCATGGCTGATCTTCCTTACGCAGCTGGGTTTTAATTGGAAAAAAATAAAGAAAAGTGAAAAGTAAGAACAGGAAGTGAGGTACAGTAAATTTAACCTGGTGCAAAAGGAGGAATTACACTAAAATCATGAGAGTCATCCTCAGGCTACAGGTGTTTTTTTGGATGAAATAATTCCTTAGTTAACGACTGAATTAAACAGAAAATTGTTGATTTGTGTTGGACATAGAGTTTAGTCCAGATACATGTTGTTACAAAGACCCAGCAATAACTGGGCAGCTGCAAGAAAAAGTAAAACACAATAGAAAACAATAACATGCTAACAAAGTGGTGCTAACGCAGAACAGCCGAAGGAAGGGCCACCTGCTGATAGAAGCTGGTATTTACAGGTGTTCAGACTGATGTACGTGTAAATCACAGGCGCGAACTCACTACAGTATCTACTCATTACCTCCGCAGGATTTATCAGCCAAAGCCACACAGTGAAATGAAGTAGCAGTACACTTCAATTCCATTCTAAAATTACAAAACACCCAAACAAAAAAATCTGATTCTCTATGTAACCACTAGAGGGTATCCGAGTACAACCAGCGATGCCGCCATTGTTACACTGAGAACAATCTCTTTAGATCACACTAAAAACTGGATTTGGGGTAGCTTACTGTCACGGTTTCAGTGTGTACAAATACAACCGATTGAATTTATATAAATAACTTCTAAGTTCTATTCCTAGATGTGGCATCTGGCCCATAGGTTTTACCAAAGCAGCATTAAGATCTTTCATCATGCTGTACTCTGGATAAGAATGTGGAGCTAATGATCTCCTTACACAGGTATTTATTTACACATAATAACAGAATAGTTGAAAAATACGCTACAACAAACTGGGCTTATTCATCATCTTTTTTGTTTTCATTTTAGCATAATGACGACATGTAGCCCAAAAAGTCAAATAAACATTTTCCAATGAATTCTCATCCATTTTAAAGATCCGCAAAAAAACCAACAAGGGTTTCTATTATTTTATCTTGCTTATGTTTGTAATGTAATTTTCCAACACTGTCCAGCGAACAAGAGTGTTGCCTACAAGTCTAAATTATTTAGGATAGAATTAACACGTAAATGAAGGCACACGTCAGGCATCGTCAAAATGGCACAAGTTGCCATCCCACTCCTATTTATGCTATGTCAAACGCTCAGCTGATGGACTTTAGGTCTGCAAGTGTTCAGTGTTGGAGTCCTGAGAGGGACTGGCTCTTATTTTGGTTGTCACTGAAAAAATACGGTCTCACAACATCATCTATTTACTTTATCATGTAAATGTGCTGCTTGAAAGTGCCACAGGGGAAGCTGGAGCCAATTAAAGCTGGGGGGCGGGGGCTGTCTGGGGCCTGCACTGTACACCTGCCTGGTCACCTGATATACAGCAAAATGCAGACTAATTCGCATCTGTAGTTTGCTTTGTTTGTCGCACCAGACATCGAAAAGGTTTAACTTTCACTGCAGCTAAATACCTTTTTGGACAATGGCAGGGGAACGTTCTCCTATCTATCAAAGATAGCTAGAGCGGCATGGAGCTGAGGTGCGCAGAAGTAAAACTAGAAACCTTTTAGGCCAGGTGTGATCAGGTTTCTGCACCGCTGTCATCGTCCGGTACACTTTGTTGTGGGCCTTCTCTGTCCTTGTCCTGAAGGTCATCCATTGAGTCTGTTGGCATTTTGGAAGCAGCAGCGATTTGTCCTTCACTTCCCTCCACATCGGCCCCTCCCTGTTCCTTGTTGGTTATGGAAGAAGGCACCTCTAGAGCTGAGATGCTCACCTCCAGCTCTTCCTCTTTTATGCTTTCGTCTGTTAAAGCTGTACTACTGCCATCTTCGTCTTTATCATAGTCAGACAGAGTCCCACGTCTTGCTTCTCCATTAAACCACGTGCCATAATAGAGTTGGTCCTTCTCAGCAAAGTACAACTTCCCTTCACCGTGCTTCACGTCGCTTTTCCATTCACCTTCATACCAGTCGCCGCCCACATACCTGATGATGCCCTCTCCGTTGCGTTTATCCATCAGCCAATCTCCTACATACACATCCCCATTCTCATAGTGCATCTCTCCCCAGCCGTTTCGGTGGCCCTCCTTCCACTCCCCATGATAGAATGCCAACTCGTTGTACGCACATTTCCCATGGCCATGTTTCTTCCCATCCTTCCACTCCCCAATGTACAACTGCTCCCCCTTTGTGTACGTGCCATATCCATCGGGCTTCCCACATTTCCAGTCTCCTATGTATGTGGCACCAGACTTCCAAACCTGTTGTCCCATCCCGTGCCTCTTGTCATCCTTCCATTCTCCTTTATATTTATCTCCATTGACGGAGTATATTGCATTCCTCACGCCGTGTCTCTGTGACCTCCTTTCTTTCACTTTGGACGGCCGCCGAAGGAAATTATTCCTTGTTAAAGGCATGGCTTAAGATGCCGTGTTCTGGGTATTTGTTTTGGCAGAAATATTGCGGTATTGTGTGTGATGTAAATTACGTGACAGCAGTCGGTACTTCAAAGGAACATGACATCACAGATGAAAGGAAATGCATTACGTCACCACTTTTTCTCTTACTCCGTACGCTCACTAAGTTCAAATATAATATTTATCTCATATCACTGCACAGCATCTGGTAACATTGTCCTTGTAAGACTTCCTTGAAGGTCGCCTGTGTTTAAAAAGGAATTTAAATTATTTTTGTTCATTTTTGCAGCTTTTGCAAGCCTTAAATAATATCGTGGCAATGATTGTACGGCTGTACCTACGATTCACAAAAACAATGACGCAACAACCACGGGTGCTACGACCAAACACTGGCTGCAAGTGCAACATCTGGGGTAATCTGGGAATTCACCGGTTTTGATAAACAACAGTCCCCACCTCAAAATAGAGGTGGGGGTTGGTTTGTTCTTTTGAGTCACTCTGATGTCAATAGTAAACATTTAAAGCCGAGTTGATGCTACGAAGGCGGTGAAAAACACGCGGTTATTGCATGTAAAAGAAACTTCTCCATCTTCATGTTCTATTAAAAGCGTTAGTCACGTTCCAGGCCACTTGATGGCGCCGTTCCTTTACCTGTCATGCACCAGTAAACACCACAGAAAAAGACGGAGAAACGGCTGCTCACGTGACAGGGACTCGGCTCAGCTGATAAAGGTCGCTGGTTCAGACTACAACAACAGAAGCGCTTGGTCACTCACTGCTGGTTTTTTTTTGCACTGTTCGGTTTTATGCTGCAGACACGATGAAGAGTCTCTCACTGTTGGTTTTAACTGTTTTATCGCTCAGCGGCGACGCCCTGGTCCGGTAAGAAAAAAACACAACGTACCGGTTTATCCTCAAGCCGTAGGGGACAATAATCTACAGCTTCATGTCGCACAGACAAAGCCCACAGGCTTAAGCTGTTCGTCAGGTTAGCACGCTGCACCAAAGGCCGTGATTTTAGATGGAATGAGCGGCGACGGTTTCATATATAATATTTAAAGGGAAAAAGAAGGAAACATTAACTATTTAAATACGGTAACGTGACACAGCTGAAATACTTCAGTAGACTTGAGCAGCACTTTGGGGGAGGGGGTCACTGTAAAACCATAACGAAAACAGGTAAAACAATTGTTATTTATTAGCTCACTCGTTTACGTGTTAGTGGGTCAAATATTTGTAATTGAATTAAAAAAAAAAACGGTTTTATAAATGGTAAACTAAAACCTGAGCCTACTGGAAGAGTTGTTTTATCATTTGACGACCAAACATATTCACCCAACATGACAGTAGTATTTCTTACTTCTGTTAAGTTGTTGTTTAACCAGTTGTACCACAGAAATAATGGAAAATCAATGTTTCTACATGCAGGCAGTGATCAGTTCCAACAAAGTAGTTTTTAGTACTTGCCAAGCCCTGTCTTATGTACTATATGTACTGCAGGTAGCGCATGTAACGAGGCATATGAAGTAAATATTTTTTGTTATTTTGTTCTAGAATTCCACTGAAGAAGTTCCGGTCCATCAGACGTGGGCTGACCGACTCGGGGAGAAGTGTTCAGGACCTTTTGGCCGAAAAGAACTCCTTGAAGTACAACCTTGGATTCCCCTTCAGTAAAGGACCCACTCCAGAAACACTAAAGAACTACCTCGATGTAAGCTTCAATGTGTACAAGAGTCTACAACTGTAGTTTTGTTTGTTTGTTGGGATTTTAAGAATCTCAGTCTTGAGTCTATGACTGAAACCATTTTGTTCAACAGAAAAGTCAGTGATTTCTTTTTTTTTTTTTCCATAAATCACTTGGGGACTGATGTGACAACTGATGTATTTTGTTCCCACTGACTCCAAAGTCACATGGTGCAGAAGTTTGCTTCAGCTGCAGAGTCATTTCCTCATTTAGTTAAAAAATCTGATTTACAGTCATGTGTCGTTCACTGTTTAACCTTTGGTCTCAGAACATCTGCTGACACCAAGGATGATGTTTGATTGGTCAAAACCACCAGTGCAGAACTTCACTCTTGTGATCTCCACGCGTCGTCCTCTTCCTGTCCACAGGCCTGTCAGTCTGTCCAATGTATCTTTGACCTTGATGACCCTCAACAGTTAAGAGTTAACTTCTGTACTGTGGTACAAACAGCCAGCCTCGTGATTACAGTAAATCTTTGGCTGAGATCATTAGCAGATTAGCTGAGGTCATGAATTTTTCTCAGTTGGACTTTTTCCTTTCGGGACATTTCCAGTCAAACCTCTCCACAGGTCTGTGTGGTCATCAGACCCTTCTTGTGTTTTACTAGGCACAGTACTATGGCGACATCACCCTGGGAACCCCTCCTCAGACCTTCAGCGTGGTGTTTGACACTGGTTCGTCCAATCTTTGGGTGCCGTCCATTCACTGCTCCCTGTTGGACATTGCCTGCTGTAAGTGCCGTCTTCATTGCACCTCATCAAATTTCTGCTGCTTTCAACTCTCTGAACCAAACACATCTGTTTTCACAGTACTTCACAAAAAATATAACTCCGCCAAGTCCAGCACCTACGTCAAGAACGGCACAGCCTTCGCCATCCAGTATGGATCTGGCAGTTTGTCTGGCTACCTCAGTCAGGACACGTGCAGCGTAAGCACCATTCTCACACTGGGTCCACGTGGATGTGTGTGTTGGCATCAACACTGTCTAACTCTTATCCCTGTTTCCAGATTGGAGGCTTAACGGTTGAAAACCAGCTGTTTGGAGAAGCCATTAAGCAGCCAGGTATCGCCTTCATTGCAGCCAAGTTTGATGGAATCCTCGGCATGGCCTACCCTCGCATCTCAGTGGACGGAGTGCTGCCGGTCTTTGACAACATCATGCAACAGAAGAAAGTGGAGAGTAATGTCTTCTCTTTCTACCTGAACAGGTACGACAAGCTGCTCAAACAATGGAAATACACTCACCTATCGGTGTCGGACAGAAAGTAGAAATCGATTTGTTTGGGGCGCTGGGATGAGAATCAGCACCTCGATGTTTTCCACCGGCTGAAGGTGGCTTGGACCCTCCAGGACCCCTATTAATGATGCAATAACATTTGACATTTGACTTTTTCTATCTCATCAGGAACCCAGACACTGCCCCCGGTGGTGAGCTCCTGCTGGGAGGAACCGATCCCACATACTACACTGGTGAATTTAACTACGTCAACGTCACCCGTCAGGCCTACTGGCAGGTCAGCATGGACGAGTAAGTCACAGTACCAACATCTGGACAGGTCTGGATCAGTTGTCCATACAACAAAGAAGCAAAGGAACTTAAAGGCTTATTATGAATCTGAATTTTTAAATAAAAACAAAAATTCCACAGAATATGTCAACCCCAAACATGGCTTTCTAACCAGAATTGACTCAATATACAGGTTTATTCTTTCAGGAGCCAACTGAAAGCTGTGGTAACATATGACCCCCACAGATAAATTCTAGAAATGTAGCTGAGGTTAACAATATTAAACTCATCTTCACTTTCACAGATATGGCCCCTTGGCCTGACCCCTGACCTCAGAGTTTCTTTATTGTTTTGTTTTTTTTCTGTTTGTGAGACAGACTGGCCGTGGGCAGTCAGCTGACTCTGTGTAAAGGCGGCTGCCAGGCCATCGTGGACACGGGAACCTCCCTGCTCACTGGCCCCTCCGCTGAGGTCAAGGCCCTGCAGAAAGCCATCGGAGCCATTCCACTGATCCAAGGAGAGGTGAGAGCAAGGAGTCAGGAAGAAAGTTGGTTCTATTATTTCTACAATCAACCTCAGAAGATTTAACTTCTAAGGATCTAGAAAAGTCATGGGTTTGGTGGACAATAATTCTGTTAATAAATGTTGTCCATTTATTAATTGCTATTTTTCTGTGTGTTTGTGTTGTTTTTTTTTTTTAGTACATGGTGAACTGTGACAAGATCCCATCACTGCCAGTCATCACATTTAAAATGGGAGGACAGAGCTACAGTCTGACTGGAGAGCAGTACATCCTCAAGGCAAGTGATTAACTCTCTCTCTCTCACACACACACACACCTTTTTGTTGACATCTTTTGTTGACTTATTTGTGTTGTTTAATAAGATCTTTTCGGTTTAGTCGTTTTTCCAGTCGTGCAGTCACAGCGGTTAGTTGACATGTTTAAACGGTGCCCTCTAGCGGCCGTATTACACACGTATTAATCATTATGTGGTTAAATCTTCATGGAAAACTGAAAACTACGAATGTTCGTTACAAAATATTGCAGCATAGACTGTAAACACAAGTCGATAAAATCAAACATCGGTTTCGCCTCCGTTTTCCTGTTTTTCAGGAAAGTCAGGCCGACCGAACCATCTGCCTCAGCGGCTTCATGGCCCTGGACATCCCCGCCCCCGCTGGCCCCCTGTGGATTTTGGGAGACGTGTTCATTGGCCAGTACTACACCGTGTTCGACCGAGACAACAACAGGGTCGGCTTTGCTAAGTCCAAGTGAGGACATCGACCCGCTTTGGTACAAAGCTAAAGAGTGAAACCAAGCTTCACACATTTTCTGTTGCTTCGCAATCCATCAGTATTTAGCAATAGTTGGTGTAGATACTGTATGCACGGATTTGTGTGTGTGTGCGAGTGTCCGATTAAAAATAGACGGTGAATAAAGATGGTAAGTGGATGAAAACTGTCTGGGATCAACTGAACTGTCAGAACTGCTCTGTAGGATCTTTTTTTTTTTTAATCAGAAATTTGTCAGAAAGAGAATTTTAAAATGAAATAGTCAAATGAACTTCTGGGTTTGTGGTGTGTTTTAATGTAATTGGCTTAAATAAAAACTTTTTGAAATATTCTTTGTCATCATTTACTAAATGTTTTTTTTGTACTAGTACTACACCGTGTTCGACTGAGACAACAACAGGGTCGGCTTTGCTAAGTCCAAGTGAGGACATCGACCCACTTAGGTACAAAGCATTACATGAACATCAGAGCTAAGTAGAGCAGCTGACATTTGCAGTTCAAGATGTGTACGTGTGTGTGTGTGTGTGTGTATGGTAACATCACTTGGATGCAATGATGCCAGCAAATTTATCAAAGGCCAACTGTGCAATCTGGAATAAAAATTTTAATCATTACCAGCACTAAAATAAGATTCTCCCTCTTACAAAACCAGTCATTAGAAAGCACAAAACACAACTGTGTATGTATTAAATTCACCATAACTTCCACGTGAATGTAGTGATCAGTAAATGTGCTCAAAGCCGCCGTCAAATTCAGAATTTCTCTTCACGTGTATCTTTAGTAACGCTGATGAGACAGAATCATGACATAACAACAACAACACCATAATGACATGTTTACATCATCAGTGCAGCAGGTCCATATATGGTATATTGTTCCGTACACGTCTGCTCCCCAAGCCAGTGTTTGATTTGTCCATTCTAAGATTCTGTACAAACATGGCTGCCCTTTGAAGGGCTTCGCAAAGTCTGTGACAAGTACATTTTTTTTAGTGGCACAAATGGAGGCTTTAATCTTGCTTTGGGTTTGTTACCTGTATACTTCAGTTGTTATCAGAGCCTACAGAACTGTAGCCCAACACTGAGCTGCAGCACATAAGAGAACAAGACGACAAAAGTACAGCAGAGATGGTGGCGCTGTTTGAGGAGAGACATCAGCCTGTTTAGTTGAAGACAACACTGGCAGGAATTAAAGAAAGACACTAACAAAGATCTTCAACAGCTCTGATTTAAAAAAAAAAGTTTAATAGCCATCTGCTGCCACCTAGCAGAAGAGGATTTAATTGCTCTGTCTGTCACGCATTGACGAACGAAAAAACATATTTGCAATAAATAAAAACAATAGTTATGTGACGACTAAGTGACATTTGATAATTTTCTACGGCACACTAGTGTGCCACGGAACAGTGTTTGGGAGTTAAAAAAATGGAAAATAAATGTAATTATTAATAATGTCTCTTCACAGTGTGTGTGTGGGCAGGAAATGAACATTTGTATTGAAGTACAAAGAGAGAATAGCACGTTGTGTGGACTTAGGTGAGATTAAAGAATGTCTTAACTGTTGTTAATGTTCAGATGATACAGTGAATTCAACACCAAACTGTTTCTCGTAGCTCTTGGCCCTGACAGCCACTGATGGGACACAGGTCGTGTCCAGACTTAGCTGTCTCTGGAGCTCGGCTAATAGAAATGTTCAAGAAGTCAGTCGTGTCTTCAAAACCCTGAAGACTCACGGTCACAAAGAATGTTCTGGACTCTCTGTTGGTAAAGTTTTATTCAGTGATGAACAGAAGTGTCCACCTGGACTGTGTCGACACAAATGCTGTTCTGCTGACTTGAGGTTGACCTTTGACCTCCACAGTCAGCCCTCCTGTCCCTCTTTGTCTTTGTTTGTGACCTTACAGCCCTTCTTCTCCTCCTCCTCCTCCTCCTCCTCGGGCTCCGTGTTCAGGTTCTCCTGCTCATCCTCAGACTCCCTCCGTGGAGCAGCAGGGTCTCTCACCACATCTTCCATAGCCATCTCCCCCTCTAGCTCCTCCTCAGTTTCCTCCTCAACCCGACCCACGGTGTCTGGAATGATCTCCACCTCGATGTCCGAGGAGTCCTTGCTCTCCTTGAACCACACCGTCTTCTGTCCCTGCCTCCTCCTCTGCTTCATCCTCTTATCGTACTCGTCTTCATCTTCTCTGTCCTTCCTGGCCTGCCAGGCTGAGGGGCTACCCTTCGGGATGTGGTTGTTGTAGACGCCGCAGGAGGAGCAGTGACTCCGCCTCTCCAAAGGAAGGACTCTGCCCCCTGCCTGCGGGAAGGTGCTACGTCGTGGTATGGAGTTGTTGCAGCGCCGACTCTGGTCGCCCTCAGTCTGGAAACCATTATTGGTGAACTGTAGGGAGTCTCGGTGTCCACTGCGGGGCAGTGCCGACTTTAGACAGGGGCTCAGACACTACAAACAGGATAGAAGCGCCCCCCGGTGGTAAAACAGAAGTAAATTAAAAACAAGTGAATCAGCTGAATTCATAACACCATGTTTATGTGTTTTGAAGGGCATGTTAGAGCAAAAACTAAAGAGCCAATCACCAGGCGGACTACAACACTGGGCTACCACACTGTATGAAATATCCTGTACGTACGGGTTAACAGGATTTGTGAAAGTTTCGTTAAATTTTTTGCCTATGATGACTCTTAAATACATACAGTATATATGTTAATATATATGTGTTTATCCCTGACACACATACTGTATATATGTATGTGTTCTCTGATGAAGCTAAAAAGGTATTCTTCAAATCATAAGGTGAAAAACAAACATAATATAAAATTATTCATTCACAGCCCAAAAGCTTGGAGATAATGTTCAATCACATTATAAATCAAATCCACACGTTCAAGCCTGTGACCAAAGAAGAGTAAAAACACATGGACTGACCTCACACAAATTTCTCACACTGCTGTTTCCCTTCAACAAGAGGGAAACCAGAAAGCCAATCACGATGAGGCAGAGGACGAGCAGAGCAGCCATGACCAGACCCAGAAGAGCCATGTCCCCGGGGCGGTAGCCGATATTAGAGGGAGATGGGATGGCCATGGCTGAAAAAGGGGAGAAGACATCATCACACAACACAATGACCTCCAATATGTACACATACACACATTTATGTGTATATACATACATATATATGTATAGTACATGTAAATATATTCACACAAAAATTGCAAAAGAGACTCAGTTGGGGCTGCATAGCCATGCATGGCCCCTTGGGGGCAGACATGGTTAGGCCTGCTAGGCCAGTTCAGGCAGGGCAAAGAGCTTCCTTTCTGGCTGCAGGGAGTTGACCCAGTTTGAATGACACAGAAAAATGTGTAGGATTATCAACAACCCTGTGACTGGGCTTCTGCTTCGTTTCACTTGTTTGAATAAAAAATACTACTTTAAAATACCAAAAAATGGTTTAGTATAAAGTAAATGTAACTGTGCTGAACTTGTACTTAGTATTCCTAGAACTAATCTGAATTCAACAGCCATTGATGATCTAGATCGGTCACAATAGAGACCCCTGCTGGTCTTACCAGGTATGACTTGTACAGAGACAGCAGCCGAGCCATACTCCCCTGTAACGGTGTCTACTGCTCTGAGCTGAGAAGAAGGGAGATTAAAAAAACCCATCAAAATACCATGTAACCAGTCAGAACAGTCAACAGAGGGCGTCGTCAGCTACTGACTGCCATTCACCTGCAATGCGAAGGACTCGGTTTTCACGACTCTCTTCAGGATCATGAAACCATCTGAGGTCACATTGACGTAGCTGCTGTACTGAACCTCGTACTTCACATCTGGATTCACACCCTGAGACACAAACATGAAGACAGTGACGGACAGCAGTGCTAACATCACTGCAATGAGTTGAGCACAACCAGGACCACACAGGGCCACTGCAATGCACACACACACA